AGATAGTAGGAACTGCAGATGCTGGAGAATCCGAGACAACAAGGTGCAGGGCTGGATGAACACAGCAGGCCAAGCAGCATCATAGGAGCAGAGAGGCTGACGTTTCGGGCCTAGACCCTTCATCAGAAAAGGGGGAGGGGAAGGGGATTTTGAAACAAATAGGGACAGAGTGGGAGGCGGATAGAAGAGGGATAGAGGAGAGGATAGGTGGAGAGGAAACAAACAGGTCGAAGAGGCGGGGATGGGGCCAGGAAAGGTGAGTGTAGGTAGGGAGTTAGGAAGGGGATAGGTCAGTCCAGGGAGGACGGACAGGTCAAGGGGGCGGGATGAGGTTGGTCGGTAGGAGATGGAGGTGCGGCTGGAGGTGGGAGGAGGGGATAGGTGGGAGGAAGAACAGGTTAGGGAGGCAGGGACGAGTTGGACTGGTTTTGGGATGCGGTGGGGGGAGGGGAGATTTTGAAACTTGTGAAATCCACATTGATACCATTGGGCTGCAGGGTTCCCAAGCGGAATATGAGTTGCTGTTCCTGCAACCTTCGGGTGGCATCGTTGTGGCACTGCAGGAGGCCCAGGATGGACATGTCGTCTGAGGAATGGGAGGGGGAGTTGAAATGGTTCGCGACTGGGAGGTGCAGTTGTTTGTTGCGAACCGAGCGTAAGTGTTCTGCAAAGCGGTCCCCGAGTCTCCGCTTGGTTTCCCCGATGTAGAGGAAGCCACACCGGGTACAGCGGATGCAGTATACCACATTGGCAGATGTGCAGGTGAACATCTGCTTGATGTGGAAAGTCTTCTTGGGGCCTGGGATGGGGGTGAGGGAGGAGGTATGGGGGCAGGTGTAGCACTTCCTGCGGTTGCAGGGAAAAGTGCCGGGTGTGGTGGAGCTGGAGGGGAGTGTGGAGCGGACAAGGGAGTCACGGAGAGAGTTGTCCCTCCGGAAAGCAGATAAGGGTGGGGAGGGAAAGATGTCTTTGGTGGTGGGGTCGGATTGCAGATGGCGGAAGTGTCGGAGGATGATGCGTTGGATCCGGAGGTTGGTGGGGTGGTACGTGAGGACGAGGGGGATTCTTTTTTGGTTTTTATTGCGTGGACGGGGTGTGAGGGATGAGGTGCGGGAGATGTGGGAGACACGGTTGAGGGCGTTCTCGACCACCGAGGAGGGGAAGTTACGGTCCTTGAAAAACGAGGACAACTGAGATGTACGGGAGTGGAATGCCTCATCCTGGGAGCAGATGCGGCGGAGGCGAAGGAATTGGGAATAGGGGATAGCATTTTTGCAGGAAGGTGGGTGGGAGGAGGAGTATTCTAGGTAGCTGTGGGAGTCGGTGGGCTTGAAATGAATATCGGTTTCGAGGTGGTTGCCCGATATGGAGACAGAGAGGTCCAGGAAGGGGAGAGAGGTGTTAGAGATGGTCCAGGTAAATTTAAGGTTGGGGTGGAAGGTGTTAGTGAAGTGTATGAACTGTTCGAGCTCCTCGTGGGAGCACGAGGCGGCACCGATACAGTCATCAATGTAACGGAGGAAGAGGTGGGGTTTAGGGCCGGTGTAGGTACAGAAGAGGGATTGTTCCACGTAACCTACAAAGAGGCAGGCGTAGCTTGGGCCCATGCGGGTACCCATGGCTACCCCCTTTGTCTGTAGGAAGTGGGAGGAATTGAAAGAGAAGTTGTTGAGTGTGAGGACAAGTTCGGCTAAGCGGATGAGGGTGTCAGTGGAGGGGGACTGGTCGGGCCTGCGGGACAGGAAGAAGCGGAGGGCCTTAAGGCCATCTGCATGGGGAATGCAGGTGTAGAGGGACTGGACGTCCATGGTAAAGATGAGGTGTTGGGGACCGGGGAATTGGAAGTTCTGGAGGAGGTGGAGGGTGTGGGTGGTGTCATGGACATAGGTAGGGAGTTCCTGGACCAAGGGGGAGAAAATGGAGTCGAGATAGTTGGAGATCAGTTCGGTGGGGCAGGAGCAGGCGGAGACAATGGGTCGACCAGGGCATTCAGGTTTGTGGATTTTGGGAAGGAGATAGAAGCGGGCAGTGCGAGGTTGGGGAACGATGAGGTTGGAGGCCGTGGGTGGGAGGTCACCTGAGGTGATGAGGTTGTGGATGGTTTGCGAGATGATGGTTTGGTGCTCAGGGGTGGGGTCATGATCAAGGGGGCGGTAGGAGGAGGTGTCGGAGAGTTGGCGTCCGGCCTCGGCGATGTAGAGGTCAGTGCGCCATACTACAACTGCACCTCCCTTGTCCGCGGGTTTTATGGTGAGGTTGGGATTGGAGCGGAGGGAGCGGAGGGCTGCACGTTCTGCGGGGGAGAGGTTGGAGTGGGTGAGAGGGGTGGAGAGGTTGAGGCGATTGATGTCTCGACGGCAGTTGGAGATGAAGAGGTCGAGGGAGGGTAGGAGGCCTTGGGGTGGTGTCCAGGAGGAGGGGGTGTGTTGGAAGCGGGAGAAGGGGTCAGTAGAGGGAGGGTTAGGTTCACGGTTAAAGAAGTAAGCGTGGAGGCGGAGGCGGCGGAAAAACTGCTCTATGTCCAAGCGTGAGCGGTATTCGTTGATCTGTGGGTGGAGGGGGACAAAGGTGAGCCCTTTACTGAGGACTGACCGTTCGTCCTCAGTAAGGGGTAGGTCTGGGGGGATGGTGAAGACTCGGCAGGGCTGGGTGCTGCTGTCTCCTCTGGAGCTGCTGGCTGTGGAGGTGGTGGGCGGAGCTACGTCGGCGTCGGCTGTGGGCGGAGCTGCGTCGGCGTCGGCTGTGGGCGGAGCGTCGGCGGCGGTGGGCGGAGTTGCGCCGGCGGTGGGTGGAGTTGCGTCCGCGTCGGTGATGGGCGGACCGGCATCGGAGGTAGGAGGAGCGGGGTAGGCGGCGGCAGTAGCGGTGAGGGTGGTCGCGACTTCAGTGTCGGTGGCAACGGCAGCGATGGTGCTTGCTGTCCTGGAAGTGGGGAACCTGGCGGTGGCGGATGTGACGTCATCTGTGGGTTCTCCGATAGTGGCCTCATGGCCAGTGGCGGCGGACCCATTGTGGGGAAGGTCCTGGGTACGGCTGGGGATTTGGGGGGTGGAGGAAGCCCGTTTTGGGTGGTAGGCACCAGTAAGTTTACTGTACTTACGGTTTTTAGTGTCCAATAAAGCTGAGTAGAATTGGGAGTTCAGGTTGTGGATCCTACGTAGAATAAAAAACAGGAGAGGTCCTTTGCAGGTCTGGGAGAGGGAGGCTCTGAGCTGGGGTAGGCTTGATTGTAGTGCCTGGAGATGCCGGCGCATTGCTGCAAGTGTGTGTTTCAGGAGTCGCAGGGAGAAACGCTTCTGAAGGATCTCAACCCCATGAGTGTAGATATTATCACGGTTGGGGCCAAATTGGGAAGGCTTGAATGTGGATTGTAGTCCATTGGGGATGATCTGGTTCCGTAGGCAGGTGCTAAGGTACACATGTTTTCATGCAAAGATAAGCTGTGTACACTTAAGGATATTCCAATTTTCCTTCTCACTCTTCCTCTTCCTCTTTCCTAGCTGATGTTCCTTCCAGTCATAACCTTGATCGTTCATCTCTTGCTAAAAAGCGATTTACATTGCAGGGTCTTTCCAATCGCAGACCTCCACAGAAAGGTAAAACAACTAAGTGCAACTGATGTAACTTCAGTGTCCGTCCTATACCGCATGGCTCTTCACCTTTCCAAACAACTATCTTATCACTATTACATACTTTTCCATTTGTAACCTAGAAGGTATATTTACTTATGTTTTATGTACAAGTTGTGTTTCCTACTGTTATCATCCGAATTTCATTGAACCTCTGTCATCTATTTTATAAAAACTTATAATGCTTTCAAATGTTAATACTGCTGCAAGGAATCACGAACCCTAAAAGATGAACAATTGTTCATTACTTTTCGCAATATACAACAAACACAATTTCATACTTTTTCACCTCAACCCTGGTAAAATAAAGCATTTCAAAGTTTCTTCAGGCTGAAAGATTGACTCCAACATAACCATCTTCCCTGTAAAGTGTCAAGTTTGTAAACACATGACCCTTGATGCAACATACTCCAGGCCAAGAGATGTAAGGGATGAAATAGCAGAGGCTCTAACCATCGTTTTCTAATCTTGTCTGGCTATAGGCATTGTACCAGAGCATGGAAGGACTACTAACATTGCCCCATTGACTTAAAAGGGAGGATGGCATAGTCCAACTGTGCACAAATCAGTCAGCCTAAAACCAGTGGTGAGGAAATTCTTGGAAAAAAGTCTGAGTGGCAATATTAATCATCATTTAGAAAGACGGATTAATCAAGGATGGCCTGCAAGGATTTGTTAAGAGAAGTCAAAATTGTTTGAATTTCACAAGACTTTTGACATGGTTCCAAATGGAAGACTGGTCAGGAAAGTAAGGGTCCTTGAGGTCTTAGGGGATAAGCTTATTTGAATCCAGAATTGATTAAAAGACTGGAAGCAAAGAATAATGGTTCATGGGAGTTTAAATAACTGGGGTTGGTTACAGTGGGTTTCCACAGGTTCAGTACTAGATTCCTTGCTTTTTATGGTTCATGTCAATAGATTAAACTGAAACATAAAATGCACAATTCAGAAATTTGCAGATGATACAAAAATCGTTGTGTACTTGATAGTGGGAAGAAAGCTCTAGACTGCAGAAAGATATCAATGGACTGATCAGATGGGCATAGAAGTGGTAAGTAGAATGCACGCATTGATTATGCATGAGAAGGTAATAATTGGTTGTTAAGCACAGAAGTGCTGCAGAACGGAGGGATCTGGGTGCTGCTACTTACAGATCTCTAAAGGTATCAGGACTTTTACATAAGTGAGACACATGGCAAAGCTTCCTTTAGAAGCTGAAGAATAGACTATAAAGAAAGGGGTCAGTCAAAAATTGTATAAAACACAAGTTAGGACTCAACTAGAGTTGAATGTTCTGCTGTTGTCACTGCATTAGAAGAACATTGTGATCACACAAGAGAGGGTACAGAGGTGATTTACGAGCATGTTATCAGGAATGGAGAATTTACCAATGAGAAAAGCTCTTATAAACTAGGGTTGTGTTCTTTGGATAAGGCTGAAGAAAGATTTAATTGAGCTGTATCAAATTCTGAGGGCTTAGATTCAGAATGATTTGAATTCTATTAGCAGGTCAGTGAACAAATAGACAACATGGATTTAAACCAACTGGTGGAAAGGTTACAGGGAATTGGAGGAGGATTTTTTTTGTACATAGAGGAAGGTAGAGTTCTAAAACTCATTATTTGAAAGGGTGGTACAGCAGATACCCTTATCATATTTAAAATATATTCAGGTATGTACGTACAGTGCTATAATCCACAAGGGTTTATAAGCAGGAATAGGCTGAATAGCTCCTGTTTGGTTCGCACTGGGACAATGGGCTGAATGATCTTCTTTGTGTCATACATTTTCTATGTTTCTATATTGTTCAATATCAATTGGCAGCATTGTGCAGAATAATGGAAAATAAGACCTCATATGGCTCACTACACAAGTGGGACTCCCCTACAACGACCAAACTCACTTGGACTGCCACTGCCAATTCATTTCCTGCATGTTGCCTGAGAAAGGAAGTAGAAGGAGGTGTTTGGAATGATATGGAATCATGGTGGATTTCCTTGCTCTCTGCCACACCTACTACTTGAGACAATATGGAGACTGGAGATCAATCTCAAGAAAAGGTACTAAATAACCAATGGAAGAAAATGGCCTTGTAGCAGCTTCCACTTCTTCCTTTCATCTGAAAGATTTAGCAGCTGAAAACCTTTCTCTGACTCATTCCATAATCTTTGGATCACTTCTGCCTGTCAATTTGAATGACAGAATTCCTGGATCACCAATTCCAGCACTTCCTCACTGACTCTTATGAATAGAATGTCCTTCAGGAACTTTGAATTAGGACAGCAGATCAGGATCAGAGCAGGCCTGGGTGTATTGCTGCATCAAAGCATTACCCTGAAGCACAAGCCAGATGTCATGGTCCTGATGTGTGGCTCCTTATAAGCTTTCTGTTCCGCAAATGATAGCAATCACAGATCTTTTCAGATAAGATTGTCAAAAATACTTACATATTTACAAAGCAATTTGATTCTCCAGAATTGCTTGTCTCTGAGGACAAGAGTCAGGAAGTGCATTGCAAAGTTGTAACATACCCATTAAAGGTTGGATGGTTTATATTTAACCTATCAGTCAATTCTTTTATTTCAACTGGCAGATGAACAACTTCAAGTAAACAATATTATTCTAACTTGTTTAAAATTTTCCTGCCAACATATGATGTCAAAAATGTACGTTTTTTAAAAGTCAGAATAATATTTTTGCAGCAGAGAAGACATTATTTGTTCTAGAAAATACTCCAGATCCTATTGAAAAATCTGAGTAACCATAATTTAAATGGTATCAATTACAACAAGTGAAAGTTTCATACATTTGTCAGCAAGTCAAGATAAAACTACTGGTCTGTTTCAACCATTGGATTTAATAACATTTAAAAGGTATTCCGAGCAATAGTTCTGCATTAATCTATTTTGATAGCAAAATCAGAAACTATGCATAGAGTCATAGAGTCATACAGTTAAACAGCACCAAAAAAGACCCTTCAGTCCACCTCATCCACGCCAACCAGATATCCTAAACTGATGTAGTCCCATTTGCCAGCATTGGGCCCGTACCCCTCTAAAGCCTGCCTTCCTATTCATGTACTCATCCAGATGCTTTTTAAATGTCATAATTGTATCTGTCTCCGCTACTTCCTCTGGCAGCTTACTCCATACATGCACCACCCTCTGCATGAAAATGTAATGCCTCAGGTCCTTTGTAAATCTTTCCCCTCTTACCTTAAATCTGTGCCATCTAGGTTTGGACTCCCCTATCCTGGGAAAAAGACCTTGGCTATTCACCCTATCCATGCCTCTCATGATTTTATAAACTCCTATAAGGTCACCTCCTCAGCCTCTGACACTCCAGGGAGAAAAGCCCCAGCCTATTCAGCCTGTCCCTCTAGCTTAAGCCCTCCAATCCCAGTAACATCCTTTTAACCTTTTCTGAACCCTTTCAGGTTTGACATCTTTCAAAAGCAGGGAGACCAGAATTGAATACAGTGTTGTAAAAGTGGGCCCATCAATGTCCTGTACAGCCACAACATGACATCCCAACTGCTATATCAATGCACTGACCAATGAAGGCAAGCATGAAAAATGTCTTTTTCACTACCTGTCTACCTGCGACTCCACTTTTGTGGAATTATGCACCTGCACCCCTAGGTCTCTTTGTTCAGCAACACTCCCCAGAACCCTACCACTAACTGTATAAGTCCTGTTCTGGTTTGCCTTACCAAAATTCAACACCTCACGTTTATCTAAATTAAACTCCATCTGCCACCCTTGGCCCGTTGGCCCATCTGATCAAGGTCCCATTGTACTCAGAGATATCCTTCTTCACTTTTACTACACCACCAATTTTGGTGTCATCTACAAACTTACTAACCTATATTCACAAGCTAATCATTTATATAAATGATGAAAAACAGCGGACCCAGCACCGATCCTTGCGGCACACCACTGGTTACAAGCCTCCAGTCCAAAAAACAATGCTCCACCACCACCCTCTGTCTCCTGCCTTCAAGCCAATTTTGTATCCAATTGGCTAGCTCCCCCTGGATTTCATATGATCTAACCTCGTCAAAAGCCTTGCTGAAATCCATATCAACAATGTCTACCACTCTGCTTTCATCAACCTCTTTGCCACTTCTTCAAAAAAGGAGCTTCAGTGAAATTTTGCAATGCATATTGTAGATTGTACACACTGTTGCTACTGAATGTCAGTGGTGGAGTGAATGGATGCTTGTGGATGTGGTGCCAATCCAGCGAGTTGCTTTGCCCTGGATGGTGTCAAGCTTCTTGAGTGTTGTTGGAGCTGCCCCATCCAGACAAGAAGGGAGTATTCCAGTGCATTCCTGAATTGCCTTTTAGGTAGTGGACAAGCTTTGGGAATGAGCAGGTGAGTTACTCAACGCAGTATTCCTAGCCTCTAACCTGCTCTTGTAACTACTGTGTTTATATGGCAAGTCCAGTTGAGTTTCTGGTTAATGGTAACCCCAAGGATGTTGATAGTGGGGGAATTCAATGACGGTAACACCATCAGTATCTGAGGAGTTGCAAATGACACTGAACATTGTGCAATGATTAGCAATCATTCCCATTTCTGACCTTCCGACAGAGGGAAGGTCATGGATGAAGCATTGATGAAGATGGTTGGGCCTAGGACGTGACTCTGGGAACCCCTACACTGATGTCCTGCAAATGAACTAACTGATATCCAACAATGACAACCATTTTCCTTTATGTTGTATATGACTAGAACCAGCATAGAGATTCCCCCCGATTGCCATTTTCTTCACTTGTGCTTGACTCCTTGATGCTGCCATCAATCAACTGCGGCCTTGATGACAAGGGCTGTCACTCTCACCTCACCTCTGGACTTTATCACATTTGTCCATATCTGATCTAAGGCTGTGATGACATCAGGAGCTGAGTGGGCCTGGCGTATCCCAAACTGAGCATGAGTGGGCAGTTTATTGCTAGAAGGCC